ACGTGTAAAAGGACACAAATTCTTAGACAAATTCTTTTTTGTTTACTAGACTTCTTCCTTGTGTGGATAGAATTTCCATGATGGTACTCTTTCGTTTCTTTGTAGCCATGATACGATGGAAAAATTTGGGGTTTATGCCACCCTCCTCTTGGCCATCGTTTTTTACATTTTTGTCTCCAAGATTGCTCTTCCTTTACTACCAACTAAATAAGTTCTACTTTCATGAGCTTTTTGTGTGTGTTTAACTAGTGTGATAGAGTCAGATTCCTCCATCTGTTCAAGGAGAGCAATTTCAGTTAGTAGTTGGTTTCTTTTTGTGGAAATACAACCAAAAAACCTCCTTGTTCCATTTCTTTAAGACTTCTTTTAGTCTTTTAATTTTGTTGATGAAACCATGCCCCGCCCATCCACGGAGAGGCATATTCTTCCACCAGTATTCTACCATTGGCATATATCACCTACAACACTCTACCACTTGCATATTCTCACTCTCTACATATATCTTTTCCCATTCCTACACTCTTCGATTCATCCCTACTTTTATTTTGCATAAGTTGTCTACAAACGTCACTCCCCACCCACGTTTTCCTTTCATTTTGTTTCTCTGGGGCAAAGCCCACTAAGAGAATGCAAGAAGCATGCATCAGCAAATAACTCAAGAATTGATAAGTCTTCAATTACGGAAGCTTTTTTTTTTTTTTTTTTTGGTTTTTTTTTCTTGGCAGGTAACAATAAATTTCATCATATGAATAATGGATGCATTTTCAATTTATCCACAATTTAACAATGCTTTAATTGTCAGCATAGCTAAAGTATCTCACTTGTCAGCACATCTATATCAATGTAGTTATAAATAATCTTTAAATTGGTAAAAGAAAATTTATCTCAAATCTACCATCATGGTTAGCAAACCCATAAAACCAATTTCCAATGTCCCAGTAATAATAAAATGTCATTTGAACTACAACCTCAATAAAATATTACTTAAATAAGGATATAGAAGGGAGAGAAGTAGTAAACGACAAGATAGCCATTCCAATGAAAGTAAAATGGCAGTAAATACCGCAAGTGAATAATGGCTGCTTAGAGGGCATGCTCTATTCACTATCAGGCCAATAATATTATCTCAACAAAAAAAATGGCAATAGCAATATGTAAAGAGACTAAATATTGTTAACCTTATTTTTCGAGAAGGCCTAGCAGACCCCGTTACATTGACAAGCTCAGCCTCCAACTCTTTTTTCTGAAATTCAAAATGCAAGATTGTTATATTTAGGAATTGATAAAGGACGTATATTAGCCATCTACATTTGTCATACCATTGTATCCCTCATTTTTTCGAACAATATTGACTTTACAGGGTCTTTCCCAATCCAACGACAAAGCTCAAGTGTCAATCCCTTAGAAGATGCTCGAACATTTTGATCTTGATGGTCAAAGAGTTCTGGAAGCATCTTTAAAATTCGTTTTGGAGGAACAACTTTTGCTCCAAAGTCACTATTTCTCACAAGGAAAATGATAAATGAATTACACAATAAAATAAAATAAAATGACAAAGAACCTACACCATAAAATCCAAGTACAAACCTCAAAGCTTGAAACATGACATCAATTGCAGGGACGACTGCTTTCGCAACTTTGTTCTTTATTGCTTTTTCCATTGCATCCTATATTAGCATAAACCTTCTAGTAAGATATTATATTAGCATATATGACAAACAAATTGAAATTACCGTTTGCAAATTGATTTTTCATTTAAAACAAAATTGTTTCTGATCNAAAGAAAAAACTGCAGTTTTCAAAAAAAAAAAAAAAAAAAAAAAAAAAAAAAAATACCAGCACACACACACAAAAAAAAAATTAAAAATTAAAAAAATTAAAGGAAAAGATAAAAGCCAGATAGTTTATACATTGAGAAACAAAAGCCCATCCTTGACTCAAAAATATATCCTAGCACAAATGAACCAAAGAAACCATCAACAGACAAGAGAGAGTTAGCAACATTTAGATGGACTTCATATTCTGGTACTTTAGCAGCATAGTAACAAGAGAAACTCTTTTTCTTTTTTTCTTTTTTTCTTTTTTTTTTCTTTTTTTTTTTTTTTTTGAAAGGCCAAGAAAACTTTTTTATTCAAAACAATTTTTAAACTTAATCTTCAATGAAAGTAACGACCTAAGTAAACTCTCTAAGGTTTCTTCAATAGATTTTGTTTCCAGCCATCAATCCAGGAATCAAGACTGTATAACTGGACTTCATCTGATCGTCCACTTCCCACTTCAAGTATTCTCATCTATTGTGGAAAAAGGAAATTTCTCAAGAGGCATCCGAAGATTCATGATCAGAACTTGGCCAACAATTGTTTTTTTTTTTATTATTATTATTTGAATAAATAGTTGATTGTAAGACTTCATTTCTCAAGCACATGACAAATTTTGGCGGCCATCAAAATATAAAGGATTGGCTTCTGAACCTATATAACAGACTCCCTGGTGTAGGCATCCATTTAGTGAAGCTTCCAAATGATCCCGTCTCTATATTGCCCAACACTCACGAATTTCAGCAGCAAAGTGAGTCTGGCCAACTCATATAATTCCCAAACAAAAAGTTTCATCCAAGAAAAAGGTTCCAAGCAAGTTTGTGCCTTCTCCACGGGGTATCCAATTGGAATATAAACCGCGGAAATCAAAATTCTATAATCTGAGAACAATAACTGAACCTACAGGATGCATAAGAAAAATACCAGGAAAACATCGGCGGCTTCTAGTTCTACCCAGAGCATAAACACCGCTTGGGCCTTCTCCACGGTCTTAGGTCTACCAGTTAAGCATTTTGCAACAATTGCGTCACAAATTTCTTTGGCGAACCTATAAACGACAATTTCCAAAAGAAAAGACAACCATAATGTTAACTGGTAACTCTAAAGAACCATATACAAATGTGGATGAGTAAAATAAGCCACGGGTTCATATAGAGAAACAAGAGGATTCCCACCTCCCCGCATCTGCGTCAGCAGCTCGCAAGTAAGCAATTAACGCATCCAGTGACTTCTCTTGCACTGGTGCATTAGAATCCGCGACGGTCTTCCTAAACAACGGACCTAGAGAAATCAGAAACCAAATGCATGAGCAAAGATCTACATCAATCACTGCACTGGATCGTGGACACTGAGCTGCAAAGCCATGATACCAGATCTAATAAGTGGAAATGGACCAAAGTGAACTCACCAAATTCGCGGAGACGAGAATCCTTGGGATCCGTAATGGAGTCACAGACGGCTGCTAGATCAATGTTGGCCTCGTTCCTGACCTTCCAATTCTTGTGTGAAAGCCGATCCTCCCACGGTAGTTTCTTCGCCTCCTTAAGCAGTTTCTCTTCCTCCGACATTTTTACTAACTATTGATCCTATGTACGGAAAAGAAATGCAGAATTGTCCGTAATCTGTATATTCCTCTCCGGCAAGTGCCTGCAACAGGTAGACCACGACTCTCAAAGAAGAAATGCTGCGAAGCGATGCCCTAAATCAGAGCGGAGAGGGAGGGGGAGAGGGAGGGGGAGAGGGAGAGGGAGAGAGAGAGGAGGGGGGAAAGGGGGGAGAGTGGGAGAAAGAAGGGTATTTTGGAGGGAGAGGAGGCATTTCTACCTCTTCCCCTTTTTTCGTTTCTCAATTCCGTGTAAAACAGAAGGGTATTTTGGGGTGTACGCATTGGGGGAGGGGCATTTCTACCTGCTGGCCTGCACTCGTGTCAGTGTTAACCAATCAAACGTGACAGCGTGGCAGTGGGAGGCGCGTGGGGTGACCAGCATTCTCGAGGGAGCGTGAGGTAATGATATATTGAATTTACAATGGTTGAGCGGTTCAAATTGTGGGGCCCCAAACAATGCTTTAAAGAAGACTATAGTGAGACTCCAGGGGGGAGCGGCCACTGATTCCTTTTGTATTAATTGAGAATATTTAAATCTCCAAAGTTTCTAAACAAAGATTTGTTTCTGTGCGTCGACTTTATTCTTGTGAATAAAATGCATTCAAAATTTTAATAAGATATCTAGGCTTGTGCAAATCATTCTTTTATTTTTAGAATAAATAAATTAGTAACAATTAATTTATAAACTTCAGATTTGAGGGCCGTACAATGACAGTATTATAAAAAAAAATAAAAATAAAAGATTGATATTTGGGGTAAAATTGAATCTGAGTCACAATGATTTGATGATATAAAAGAATTAAAATTAGAAGCTTGGCTTCTTCTACATCTTTATTTCCATGTGTTTTTTCATACTTGCTCTGTTTTTTCTTAATTCATGCAAGAGTATACATGAAACAATTGCAAGAATGTAATAAACACCAAAAGTTAAAACTCTCACGTAAGACTACCAAAAGAAACAAAATCTCTCTCTTCCAACCAACTTCTTAATCTCAGTCTCATTTCTCATCTCTTGGTTCATAGTGCATGGATCTTCACCAACCTTGAGAGTATGAATCCACGTGTTGAGCGTCCGAGAAAGTAGGGTTGTGATTGGAATGGTGTAGGTCAGGTTGGGCAGAGAAAGATGGATGGGAAAAGATGAAGATTGATGGGTTCGTGCAGGAATGGTGGGGGCAACTCTCACACCTCTTAAAGCTTTCATAGAGAAGGAAGATTGGCGAAGAGAGGGCGAGAAAAGAAAGACACAAGATTTAGCGGTTGATTCGACTCTTTGTATTTCCATTTAATATAAATAATTATAATAAGTTTTAAAATTTTCCGCAATTTTGAATAGAAATACTCCTAGTCCTAAATTTATAGAAGGAAAATAATTGGTAAATTACGGTAGCTGGAAAATTAAGGAAAGGCCTCTAGTTTTCTGTACTAAAAAACAAAAATCCACTTTTATTGGAATGCCCAATGGGGTTGCTTATTTTTTCAAACACATCGTTGTGCGGTGAAATTCAAGAACAACATACTTCTCCTTCCGCTTTTTAGTTCCAGTTCCTTTTCTTCTAATCTCAAAGAAAATACAGTTTCATATGAATCTTGCGTTCTCTTATGTTGCTTTATTCACCGACTTGAGCTTCAAAACATTTTATATAGCCAACAGCAGGGAGGAGGAGGAGGAGGAGGAGAAAGGAAGATAAAGTTATCTCCCAAGGGCGAAACTGCAAGTCTTTCTCTAAACTCAAATTCTGGTAGCAAATTTGGCACTAAGCGGGGGAAAAGAACAACAAACAAAAAGGACCAACAAGAACACACCCTTTCTCTTTTTAATCGCCTACAGGTAATTGACAACATAAATAGGACAAAGAAAACTCTCTTCTGTCTGGCCTATGTAATTTCTCAATCTGTTAGACACCCTAAAAACCTGTTCTCAACATTTGCCTGCTGACTTGCAAATTCCACAGATTCTTCTGAAACCTACAGCCACATACCGCTTATCATGGAGCTTCATGAAACCGTCGTCGTGGCTTGAACTAAAATGGCATTCGACCAGCAAGCCTGCTTTCCAAGATTCGTTTGTCTATGGCTGCATCAATTGAACTCATCTGAAACAAGAATACAATACCTATGATTAGAGAGAAATTATAGAAATGATGCCATCGCCAAATCATATGGTCGAGTCTTATGCAAGAGGTGCCAAACTTTGCAAAAGAGGCTGACCTGGTCAAAGTCGTATTCACTGATCGATCATAAAATAAATTGTAATGATGCTACGAATGAGCAAAAATCTGTAGGGTAATACCTTGTTCCACCCAAATCCCCACTTTGGCATCAAGCATAGGGAGAGTGAATCACATATAATAGATTCAAAAGCCAAAAGGAAGAATTGAATACACTACGTTCTTAACCATATCGATGCAATAAGTAGTAGAACCTTCTTACAGCAAGATTTGGAAAGTTTTTACATACACACTGTAAGTGGGATAACATAAATACCTACTTGAGCCTTTTGATGCCCACAAGATTGGTGGTATGGCGTGCAAACTGGAAAATGTCAGTTAAAAGAAACACAGCATTTACATTTGATGATGAAGTTCGAGGTAAAAAGTGAGTTCAGGCTCAAGGTTCTAAAGAAAAATACATTATCTACATTGTAATGAAATCAAAACCAGATTTTTATACATCCCAACAATCGAAAGGTACACAGCATACTACAAGAACTCAAAAACAAAAACATGTATAGCCCACCCCTACATGGTTAGACTTGAAAACGAACTCCAAGTATTTAAGTTGTAGTATAACTTACCTGGCTAGTTTCATCATGCACCTGATACTTAGTTAAGGACATTCTTCTTTCCTCCTGCACAAGTTCACCATAAAAAAATGAAAACAGGTTGGAAATATCAAGATAAATCATGGAAAGCCTGAATACAAGAAAACTTACCATAGACATCGCCTCATCATCCCAAACCAAATATACTTCATTTGTTGATGGCTGAATAGGAGCTTTATTCGCAATTACAGGAGGAGGTCCAATGGAAGGACCGCCTGTATTTGGTCCCGAGGCATAAGAGTGTGAATTGCTCAATACTCCACCTATAGCATTAAATCCAGTTAAGTCACCCTGTTAAGGTATTAAACAAAATCAAAGTCTCTACTACAAGCTCAAAGATATATGTTCTAACCAATGGAGTTGGGAAGGCGTGCAGCAATATCAAAATTTTATCAATTCCATAGGTAATAAGTCTTCTGAAACATGCAAAGATTTAAATCTCTAATCTCAAAATAAACAGGAAAAAAGGAACGGCAATTTCCAGACATGCCGGATGGGCATTGGTCACTTGCATCCTTTTTGTTTCAGGTAATGGGGATGCATGCAGGAAGTCATACACAACTTAAAGACTCAGTCAGATAATGGCTCCACTGACTTTCTAATTTCGCAAGAGTTTGTATTTGAAACTACATTAGGAGAAACAAATAGATTGTGATCACATTTGTTTATAATATAAACTAAATTTACTAGTGGATAACCCTTTACAAAGTATAGAGGTAAACATACTCGGAATATAGAACATTTAAGATTATTTGTTTATGCAAAGGCCAAACTTGAATTATCAACTAACATGAATACATATTGCCAATAGACATTAAAAAAAACTCTCTAGAAGTACTACAATATTTGACTTTACTCAAGACATTGGGAGAAAATCAAACTGAATAAAGTCTTGACAAGGCATACAGAAGGGACTGCATAAAGTCATTAGATGAACCTGGAATGATTGGAACTTGATTGCAAATAGTGGAAAAGGAGTTAGTACCCAAATGTATACTCAATGAGCCCTTGATTTCTGCTGCAGATGTCAAAGGAATGCTTGTTGGAAGTGAAGATGAAGGAAAAGGAGAGCTTTGGGTAGATCCGTGGCTATTACTAACAACAGGGAACAACGGTTGAGAAACCAAAACTGAAGGTGTAGTTGAAGGCAATCCAGGAGGCGTTATTTGTGGAGGCTGGAGCATAGGAGTGGAAGATACTGGGAGTGGGGGCCTTGCAGTCTGCACAGGAAATAGTGGCGGCTGAGCATAGCCCAATGGGGCAGGAGGGGGAATTGAAACGGCTGAATTTGGGGGAAACCAAGGTTGGGGACGAGGTGGAACTTGCCAGGCAGTAGGCTGCGCTTGTCCAGTTGAAGCATAACTGCAGTTACATGATAATTGGAGGAAATTAACAATGTTTCATCATTTTACATTTTATTGAAGGTAACACAAAAAATGTGTGAACATCAAGTTAAGCACGTAATAGTGAACAGAAGACAAAAAGATAGGAAGATACTTACATAGGTCGCATTGCAGCTAAACCTGGTTGAGGAGGGTACATAATACCTAGCGATCCAGGCACCATACCACCAACCATCTGAGTTGGTGGCATCTCCACTTTGGCCACCTTCGATGCAGACTCTTCATCTTCAAGAAAGAAAAAATTCCATAATTCTATAATTATACCATTATTTCCGATGCCATGCTTAAAAAACATTATTTTAACAAGGAACAAACAAAATGCCATTCATCATTAAGCAGTACAAAAGATTGGGGAGAGTGGAAAAGAAATCATGCCCTCCAATATACAAGAGTAGGAAAGTTTGGAGAACATAAAAAAAATAAGCACTCAATGCATCCCCCTCATAGAATTTTTTAAAAAAGACTCAAATTACGTTGATTACTCAGGAACCATCAGAAATTAAGCATGGCAAGTATATTGGATCACTAAGAATATTATAATTAAGCATGATAAAGATCAAGTTATTTGGCAGGTAGGCTTCTTTTCTGTCCTTTGGTATATTTAACCTTACAGAAATAACTAAATTTTAGGGATTCGGAGAGAGCTTGGGAGGAGATTTTGTCGTTAGCTAGGCTTAATGCCTCCTTCTGAGTGTCTGTCTACAAAAACATTCGTAATTACCCATTAGGTCTTTTTCTTATGGATTGGAGCCCCTTTTATCACGACTAATTGGTTGACTCCTTTGGTCTGGATTGTTTTCTTTTTCTGTCGGTTGGCCTTTTGTTTCAAATTCTTACCTTTCTTGTCAATGAAAGCTTAGTTTATCATTTTTGTAACAACAAGAAAAGGTTAATGCAACTATACCAGTATACATTAGGAAGAAGGAAGGCCCATCCATATTTTGAAACTATAATTTGTTGCACATGGATATGACACTTACTTTAAAGTTGGGTGTGGTGCAAGAGGATACTTTCATTTTTTCATAAGAAACCAAGCTTGCATTTTTTAACTTTGTTTGCAACTTCTTTGGCTTGGGGTTCAGCTTTCCTCGCCTCTTGCAATTACATATCATCTATGAAATGTCTTGTTTCCCATTATGTATTAACACACACACATATATAACCACAATCGGGTATTAAAAATGAATATTATGTAATACAGACAATATATATATAACCTTACGACCATACAATCCTTTGTTAACATTCATGATTCACTCCATCAAATACAATGAATACTTTCCTTTTCGCCCTTCACCCTCCCTTATTCGCACTAACTGGAACATGCTCCTCTTGAACCCATCATTAGAAAGGGTTGCCATCTGAACAAGTCCAGAGATCTTCCATTTCTAACAATCTTCTAATGTCATCTTCCATTTCAAGAGAACGTCTAATTCAAAGGGCATACTATAACATCCTCAAGCATATATTTTATCCCAAAAATGGCTTCCAATAAGAATTCCTCTTCAAATCGCTAGCTAAACTAACAAGAAAGGTTATGTTTCCTATCCTACAAAAGCTAGTCCCCATGCAAACTTTGACCTTAATCAATAGTCACCATAGACGATCAGGTACTTTGCTTGATTAGTTTCATTGGATAGAATTGATTGTCTTAATCATCCCAAATACTAATTATACTCCTTAGGACCTTGGACTGCACATATCATGTAGTTTGAGGAATGTTGCCTTGTGCAAAAATTAATATGATTATGATTATGCTAATCTCCAGGTGCCCCAACTCAGATGCAGGTCCCTTCCACTAACCTCTTTGAAAGAGTTTTAGATACATCTCCACAAATGTACTTAAGGTCATAGGTCTGATCTGGTTCAACTTGTAACTGCAGCTTCCAGGAAGACGTTCATTCGCAATTACTAGTTACTTTGACGGGCTTTCTTCTTTTGAATATTCCATCTTATCAATGAAATATCTATTGCTTTATGTATTTAAAAAAAAAATGATTATAATACACACACAGACTGATCCAACCAAAAAAAAGAATCTAAAAGATACTATATTTGTCGAGAAATATCAAAGAAAAAGAGCACAGAGAGAGACAACTCAAATAGATATTATGGATAAGGGTGGAGGTGGGGGTGGGACAAATTGACTCTATGACCAAACTTACTGGACAAATGTCCCCCATTAGACAAGAATAACAGGGGAGATTTACCAAATTCAAACCGCGGTTTGGAAAATAAAAAGAAAAATACTTTCTTGTTCAAGAGTCATCCTTTCCTGAGCACAAACATAACAAACCCGTAACCTCATTATCTTCCCATACGTCTATTTACACACGTGTGTATCATGAGAAAGCCCGAGAGGAAGAGGAAGTGAAGTAATAGACTAATAATAGGTGTAAGCAAAGATAAAGACAATGCGTGCATGAGTTATACAGAATCCTCACCATCCTCTCCATAGTGTGCTGCCAAGACATCAGGTGGAATTCCTTGCATTCCATATATTTCAATATCTGTTGATTCTCTGCCAGCCTTTGCATTAGGAACTCTATCACCAGGTTACCACCAACAATATAAACATTAGAATGCAAACGTGACCAACACAAAAAGTACAAGTTCAGAAAGTAGTTGATCGACATGTGATTGATCTTAGACAAACAAAAGTCTCCATTGAGAGGCAAGTATACCCCAGTATGTTTTCACGTTGAAAACTTACAATCCAGAATATGAGAATCTATGAAAGAAAAAAAAAACTGAATGCTAACAAATTAGTAACTACGACGGTGGGCAGTCTGTAATACAGACCACCAGTGAAACAATTTTCTGGAATTATAAACCACGACTGATTGTAAAATAGGTGTTTTAAGCAGAGCAGTATACATCCTCGAATCTTCGCAGAGAAAGAAGACGATAAAAATACACTCAACAAAATAAAAAGTAAAAATAAAGATTTGTCGTTGCGGAAAGAAACGGAAGAGAGGGAAATAGTTCGCATACTTGGTGACTGACTCTTTGTGGACCTGAAGAACGTGGATGACCATACCACCAGCAGTAGAAAGCTTCTTATGGCAGACATGACACTTGAAGTGCTTGGCCTTCTGATGCTGCACCAATATCTTCTCGTCGTCGAATTCCCTGTCGCAATAGTAGCACCATACCTTAGACGAAACCCTCTTCTTCTTCCTCCCCATAACCAGAACACACACCGGTGCGCTTCCTTGTTGGAAAGATTAGTTCTTCGGCAAGCACTGGATTGTGGAAAAACGAAAAGGGAAATCAAACGAACAGAGATCGCGAAGATTTAGGGTTTTGCTTGTGGCCTTCCCCAATCCGGAAAGGGAGTTTTGTTTTGTCTCCCAACTCGCCCCCTCACGCCGCGCCGATCTCTGATTTTACTCGCTCGCTGCAGTTGTTGATTTTGCGCTCCTTTTTTTTCCCTCTGGATCTTTAGTTGTTTATCGGGGTAATTTCAATAGTCACAGCGTTGGGGATAATTTTTTAACAAAAATAATTTAAATCGCGAAGATAAAATCGGAGATTTGGAAGTTTTAAAGATTTTGCAAATGATCCAATTGATTAATGTTTGTGGTTAGTCTATTAACTGATTGTTTGTAGTAAATAATTAAATAATATCAGTACAATTTATTAAAATAAAAATTTGTCTTTTATTGAAATTGAACAAAGATCATCAACGGATACTCCTGCACCATGTGGTGGTCGCCTTTTTTTTTTGACATCTCCACGACAAACTCAAGGTACATCCATCGAAATGTAGTTGATGATGAATTACACAATTTCATTAATATTGTGTTACAAGAAGCATAAAAGGGGGCTTGTACATGATTCTCTTTTGATGACTATAACTTTATACAATGCTCGTTTGAACTACCGATGGGTGTACATGTTAGATTAGAATACGGTCGTCAATTATAGAAGGTTCTTGGTCTATACTTAGCTTATAAGTATTTTCAAGCAAACGTCGATGGTATCTACCGCGAGCATTTATCCTATCATTCTCAGCAAAATGTGGTGTGTGTGTGTTTCGATAATGGCCGAGTGTGCAGAGAAAAGTGAAACAACACGAGAGAAAAAGAAGTTGCACCTACTAAAGGAGTGGAAGGGTTGGTGCACGGCGTAAGATTATAAACTTGTAGAATTGCGTGGTACACGAATTATATTTTGTTCGTCAGATCATTTCTTCCAAAATAACATATAAATACTCCACGTCAAACTTTCATATGATCGACCATAGTCAATTGAGTACATAAATTATTTATAAAGTATTGTTTTATAAACTCGAGGAATCATTTATAATTTAAGTTATTATTGGTGACGTATTAATTAAAATCCAGCCCAACATAGCACGAAACAATGGGTTTTTGTAGTCCATGCCTTTCTAATTTTAGTTTTAATTTTTTAAATTTCAAATATAAATTGAGAACGGGATACCGAAGGTGAGTTTCTGTATTTTGTTTATATATTAAAAAAAAACTTTTTAATTTAAAACGTGAATTATGGATAGATTATTGAGTAACTATAGTTAAAAAATTAATAATATTATTACTATTTGACCATATATATATATATATATATATATATTAAATTGACTCTATTATTAAAAAATGATTTGATGGTTAAAAAAGAAAAAAAGAAAAAACCCTCAATTATGTTTTGAAAGTATATATATGTTTTTTTTAATATCGGGAGTGAGTTTCCTATTTTAACATTTAAATCATTAGTAATTAAAAAATAAGAATATTTATTTATTATTATTATTTTTGTAGTTTAAAAATTGGATTAGTATTGACAACAAAATAAAAAGAATAATAATAATAACAATAATTATGTAGACGTGTACATCCCATATTCAATTATAAGTAGGCAGCAATCATCTCTCGTAATTAGTGTACGGATTGTTGGAAAATAAAACAATAAATATGTAAATGCGTAGATTCCAAAAATAAAATTTAGCTTTCATTTTACCAATAAAAATAAAATAAAAAGATTAGGAAATGAAACATAAAGTCCACCCCCCTAAAAAGAAAAGGAGTACATAGGCAATAGGCCAACGCCTTATTTTTGTTGCTGAATTTATTAAGAAATTAAAGTTTGAGAACTGAGTGGGCGATTGCTTTAGGGTTTGCTTCAACAACAACCTTAACTTTGTTCCTAAAAATACCTTACCCTTTCTCCGTTTCGTTAACCCACCAAACCAAACCAAACCAAACCAACCCAACTATCACATGTCCCGCTTTTTCACTTCTTCCACGTTTACTCATTATATTTTTAAAAACGGCCATTCATATTCTCTCCACTTTTTAGCTACCATTTTATAATTAATCACACGATATTAAAATGCATACAAGGTTCGGCTGATAATGAAACACACATTTATACTCGATTTAATTATTTTTTCGTATCTGCTTATTATTAGGAGGTATGGTATTTGTTTGTGATTCATATTCTTTATCACATTCCCATAAACCATGTGTTCTGTCTTTAAAATCTTGGTTTCTGGTATTTTTTTTTCCTTGGCCCCCACCTTTAACTTGAACTACTCCTCTTTCTCTCTCTCTCTCTCTCTCTCTCTCTCTCTCTCTATAAAGGCCTGCGCTCCGATGCATTTCTCAAGGCAGCGTCGACAATGGCGAAACAATCAGCTTTCTCATTCATTTTATGTCTCCCGACCATGCTCCTCTTGCCCCTTCTTTCTGCAGCGCCCAATACTCCCTCCCTTTCTTCTCCGGCGCCGGCCACCCACTTTTCCGCCCGCATTCGCCATTACAATCACCATTTGAGCAAATTACACAAGCTCAAACCCTCGCTGTCGGTTCAGCGCGATGCCGTTCCCACTGACGCTCGTGTGTATCACGTGACCTCCTACGGAGCCGATCCCTCGGGTAAAAACGACAGCACAGAATCGATTCTCCGGGCGTTTTCCGACGTGTACGGGTCTACGAGTGACCTGTCTTTGATCGGCGGCGTCAGAAATCTGGGCGGGGTTCAGATTAATCTGGACGGTGGACATTACTTGATCAGCCGTCCGTTGCGGTTACCGGGTGCCGGTGTAGGAAATATCGTGGTACGCTTTCCCGCACTTGATTACAGAATTCTTGCTGATTTGGAGTTGAACTAGAATGAATTAATTGAAAATTAACAAGTGTGGAACTAAATTTGATATTTGGAGTAGAAATGGGAAGATGGTGGGTGGTGACAATTAATGATAGAGAGCCATAAATGTGAATTCACATGCTTCCTTCCTGCATACTCGACGCCTAATTCTGGCAAGCTCTTTTTTAATATTTAATTTGTTCCGACTTTTAAATTGAAAAAATAAAAAAATTCAAAGGGTAGCTTTTGGGAAATGGAAAGCATTGCTTGTCCAGGCCAAACGTCTTTCGCTTTCCTTCCATCCAAATCTTGGCTTTCTTCGTGCCCCAATTAATTCAACTTCTAACTTCCTTTTTTAACTTTTCTTCGGATTGGTGTATCTACTCCTAACTTTATACCTCTTTAATTAATTTATGAGTTTTATGTAACACAAGGAATTTTATAGACCAAAGTAAAATTATTTGTGAAAATAGAATTTGATGTGTATGATAGAATGTATAATCTTCTCATGAAGCACTGCGGTTTAACGAATTTGATTACGAATTAGATACAAGGAGGAAGTTTGCACGCTTCAGACGATTTTCCCTCTGATGGTTACCTCATCGAATTGTCGCCTTCGCCATCAGCGGCACCGAAAATAATGGAGAACAACAAAGTGATGAACTCCGCAGAAGATGCGTCGCTTAGTTCTTCTACATCTTACAATTACGAGTACATCACTTTCAGAGACCTTCTATTGGATTGCAATTACAGAGGGGGCGCCATTTCGATCGTCAATTCCTTGAGAATAAGTATAGATAATTGCTACATCACACATTTCGCCACCACCGGAATTTCAGTGCGAAGCGGCCACGAAACCTACATTCGAAGCTCCTTCCTCGGCCAGCATATCACCGCGGGTGGCGATCCCGGTGAACGAAACTTCTCTGGAACTGGAATCAGCCTCGTCGGCAACGACAACGCCGTCATTGACGTCGTTATTTTCTCCGCTGCAACAGGAATCTTCATCTCCGGCCAAGCAAACATTATCTCGGGCGTGCATTGCTACAACAAGGCTGCCGGATTCGGCGGTACTGGAATATACTTGCAGTTACCGGGGCTAACACAGACCAGAATCGTGGATTCGTACATGGACTACACCGGAATCGTGGCGGAAGATCCAGTTCAACTCCATATTTCGAACACCTTATTCCTCGGCGACGCTGCGATCACGCTGAAATCGATCAACGGAGTCGTTAATGGATTGAACATCGTGGATAACATGTTCAGCGGATCGAACGCAGGAGTGGCGATCGTACAACTGGACGAATCGAAATCTGCATTCAAGCAAATAGATCAGGTGGTGATCGCGAGGAACAACGTGAAAGGAATGCAAGTGAAATCAACGATCGGAAGCGCGGAATGGCAGGGAAACGGAACTTCATGGACTGTGGATTTCAATCCCGTTCTGGTGTTTCCGAATTTGATTAGGAACGTACAGTATTCGTTTCGAAGCACCGACAACGGATTCCCAAAGCACATGGTGAGAAATGTGTCGGATAATCGGGTGGTGATCGAGACGGACGTCGCAGTGTCAGGAAGCGTGTATGCGAGGGTTGATCAAGGGCAGAGTTAGACACATGGAAGAGAGGAAGGTAAAACATTTATTGTTAATAATAAGTGATTATGAGTTTGATAGGAATGGATGAAAGTAGGCGAAGGAAAATGTAAATTGGTAAGAGCGTAGCTTGAAATTGATACGCAAAAAGCGTTTGAAATGTTTGTCATTTGTTTTTTGTTCGTCAAGCAAACGCAACCTTTACCACCAACCATCTGATCACCAACTAAGATTGAATGTTCTTAGTGTTCCAACACAAAAGTCAATACTTTACTTTGAAACACGATAATCAAAAGCACAAGCAACAAATTATGATACAATTGGTAACCTTATCTCTAACACAAAAATTGGGCTTCTTTCTTTTCTTCGTAAAAGTCATTCTATTCTACAGTGATTTCAAGAATTGTTGTGAGTCTTGGTCTTTTGTATCTCCTAAGAAGTAAAGACGAGCAAACAACACTGACCGACGACAAAGCCATGCACGCACCAGCCGCCCATGGAGGCAACTTAACCCCCAAAGATGGAAAGAATAGTCCGGCAGCAACAGGAATTGCTATCACATTGTACGCCATTGCAAACATGTAATTCAATCGGATCCGATTGAATGTCTTCCTCGAGAGATCGATGGCTGTAATTACGTCTTCTAAATTATTTCTCATCAACACGAAGTCGGCTGCCTCAATGGCAATATCAGTCCCTGCACCAATTGCAATTCCGATATCAGAAGTAGCTAGAGCAGGCGAGTCGTTGATGCCATCGCCTACCATCGCAACTATGCTCCCATCCTTCTGGAAGTTTTGGATGACTTCTGCTTTTCCTGCTGGCATTACTTCTGCCCTCACATCTTGTATGCCAAGCTGCACAACATTTTGTCTCATTTAGTTACATTTTGTGTCAATAAGAGAGCATCAACAAATAATTTTGATCCTAACAGACCTCTTTGGCGACAGCCTGAGCCGTTCTCCAATTGTCCCCTGTAACCATGACTGGAGCAACTCCCATTTTCACAAGACCCTCAACAACAACTGCAGCTTCTCTCTTCAGTGGATCTGCTATTCCCAAAACTCCAATTAACCTATCATCATATGCAACAAGAACACCAGTCTTTGCATTCTCTTCGAGCTCAATAACGAAATTATCCACATGAGGCGCTATGGAAATTCCACTTTCATTCATCAACTTCCTGTTCCCAACCTGTTCAGGACACCAACATTTTTAGAACAACCGCAAAACATAACAACCATATATCTTCTTTAACTAGTACAAGGAACTCTTACAAGAATCCTTTTCCCCTCTGCAAAGCACTGGATTCCTTTGCCTGGCAATGCAGAGAACTCCGTGACATCGAAAAGCCATCCAGAAGCTTCTTTACTTTGGTTTCCCACATTTTGGGTCGTAGAAGGCTCGTCGAAGAAATGGAAATGACGTGCATAGTCGACTATAGCTTTTCCCAACGGGTGTTCGCTGCTAGCCTAGCCAGAAGAAAAGGCAATAGTGATTAGTTATTGACTTGGTTAACAATAGCATATCCAAAGATGAATTAAAGTCATAAAAATTGGAAGTCACCTCTGCAGAAGCAACCAGCTTAAGAAAATCTCCTCGAGAAATTTCAGTGAAGACTTTGGCAGTGGTAACCGACGCTTTCCCTTGGGTTAGTGTGCCTGTTTTATCAAATATCACGTACTTAACCTTCTGGGCCCTCTCCAAAGCATCACCTCCTTTGATCAAGATACCATTGCTGGCACCAACCCCTGTTGCAACCATGACAGCAGTCGGTGTTGCCAAGCCTAGCGCACAAGGGCATGCAATCACCACCACTGCTATGGCAAACATGAGCGAAAACACAAAGTAATTCCCATTGTCTGGGAGCCATTCAGCTGGATAAGCCCCAAGAATTCCTCCAACGTACCTATACATACCAACAGGGGCTTCAGATCCTTAACCACACAATAAATTCATCGACTCAGCTAATAATTTGAAATTAAACTTACCAACCAAATAATGTGCACAATGCCATAGCAACAACTGTTGGAACGAATATGCTTGCTACCTGCAGGCCAAACAGAAGCCTATTAATACCAGAATTGACAGATTTTAAAGTACCCATCACGATACTTACAAAATCAGCAAATTTCTGAATTGGGGCTTTAGACATCTGTGCCGACTCAACCAAACTAATAATCTGGTTCAGAACAGCATCAGATCCTACTTTGGTTGCTTGAATGTGAAGGGCTCCATGAAGATTAATTGTACCCCCAATAACAGGCGAGTTAAGCTCCTTCAGAACAGGTATAGATTCTCCAGTAACCATACTCTCATTAACATAACTCGAACCCCAAACAACAACGCCATCTGCTGGAACCTTTGCACCAGGAACAACTTTCAACACATCGCCAGGTTGAATTAGCAGAGCATTTATTTCCCTCTCTTCTATCAGATTCCCACCTAGAAACACAAAATTAGAATCAGTCAACTATTAGAAGATTGTCCATTAGCGACATCTCGGCTAACAACTTTTTCTTTAAGCTAAAGAATCTCTCCAAGTACCTTTATCTTGGATAAGCAATAGAGCAGTGGCAGGAGCAAGTTCTACCAACTTCTTGATGGCATCTGATGTTTTCCCCTTGGCAAGACACTCCAAATACTTTCCCAGTAATACAAAGGTTATCAACATAGCACTTGTTTCAAAATAAGTAGGAGACCAAAATCCGGTGACTGCACCATATAGAAGTGCACAAACAGAATAAGTGTAAGAGGCCGTGGTACCCAAAGCAACCAACACATCCATGTTCGTCGAACCATTTCGAAGAGCTCTAGCAGCTGCGACATAGAAGCGCTTTCCAATGATAAATTGCACAACAGTCACCAATGCCCACTTCAACCAATCGTCCATGATGAACGGCCCACAGCGCCGGAGTAACAATGAGTAGATTAAAGGAATATGAGGACATACTACTCGTAGGAGAAAGATGAGTACCTGGAAGAAACATCATATTTGGAATCTCAAAATAAAACGAATTCTTCCTTTGTGACAATAACAAACTCAAACATGTGGATAAGAAACATATTCAACTTAAGTTAGCTGAGAGAGAAGCAAATTGACATACACTGAGAGACAGACTGGAGACAAAAAGGCGAAACATGTTTGTAGCTTCTTCAGCATCTTTAGAAGTTAACCTACTGTAAGGGCTGGTAACATGCAGCTTAAATTTTTTGTTGCTTCTTCCCTCAATCTCATCCACCAAGGATCTGGGACCCACAAGTTGTGGGTCAAAAACAACCTCCAGTTTTCCTGATGTCCTATTGAAGAGGAACCGCCTCACCCCTTTCAAGTTGCTGAGTATGACTTCCAAAACCTGTACATCAACCTCGCCAGCAATGCCGGAAACCGCTACAAAAATTTGGTCTTGCTCACTGCTCTGTACAAGTGAAGCTTCAAATCCAGCATCCTCAATACCATTAATTATGTCGTCTTTAGTGGTTATTGTTGGATCATATTCAACCTCTCCCAATGATGTGGCCAAAGCAACTACCGCTCTCCTAACGCCAGGAAGATCTTTTAAAATGCTTTCTACCGAATTCACACATGCTGCACATGTCATACCTCCTATGCTGAATTGACCCACCAGCGTTCCATTGGACTTCTTCTTTCCAACTGAACTGGTTTCAGGTATAATCTCAGCCTCAAATCCAGCATCTTCTATCGCTTCCTTGATGTCCTCAACCTGAATTTATCGAAGAATTAGAACAAAATTAGTTCAAATTCATCACTCTGTTGGACTCCAAATTGATGCACCCAGTGATGATATAAACCTACAACCTAAACGAGTGATTTTTTCTTCTTAAATTCCATTTCCTTATCCTTCTAAAATTCTTCCCACTTACCACAACACAAGTAAAAAAATAAAATAAAATAAAACGCTGTGCTAACACAATCAACTAACCATCTTCCCTAAATCATCGATCCAGCATCACAGTTATGGATATGGTTATGGGTATGGCTGAGAGAAGAAAACAAGATAACAAAAACCTTAACGAAGCTGGGGTCGAAAACCACGTCAGCTCTGTTCTGAAGCAAAGCAACGGAAGCCGTCAAAACGCCATTAAGCCCCCTGAGAGCCGCTTCGACGGAATTAGAACAAGCAGCGCAGGTCATCCCAGAAACTGTGACCTGAACCCTCCTCATACTTTCCCCAATTTCGCCCAAATTCTCCTCCGGGCTCTCGTAGGAATCAAGCAACCGCACATCCTCGAGATCCTCCGAAAGCTCAGGAGCCGCAGAAATAGCCGAGGGACGCTGGGCGACCTGGGTGAGCTGCAGGTCTCTGAGGCCCGGCGCCATTGAAGTTCGGCGTGCAAAAACGAAGCGGGAAATGAATCAGAAACAGAAGAAAAAGAGGGAGGAGGATAGAAACATAGAGATTGGCGGAGATATTTATTGAAGAGAGAATCGGAGACTTTTCCCCGAAGAAGAACAAAGGTTGAGACGGCAATTTTCTAACCAAAGCTGGTGAAGGTGGTGGGACAGCAATAGTCACAGAGGGATGGTGGTGGGAGGAAACTTTTTTACGTTTCCCATTTTACCCCTCCCAACAAATCGTACTTCTTGTACTCGCATGCTCACATGCCCTCCTTTTCTTCTTACTTCTTGTACTGCCTCCTCAAAACAATAATATTGCTTTAAAAACAAAAAAAAACAAACTTCAATTTATTACTTAAAATTCTTTAAATTCAGCCATCAACATTATCCTTGAGTTTTTTTTTTCTTTCTTCATGTAACCAAAGTAGTTAAAAATTTTTTATAGAAAATAAGATCAAAATATCAATTTATAAGATAATAATCGACGTTTTCCATGATCAAATTGAAGATAAATATGGTATTCTTTTTTTGGGAGACGTGCTCAAGTGTGCTCCGTGCGAAGTTATAAGAAATTCAACCACGTAGCTTGCCGTAAGAATAAAAGGCGGTTGCACTTGCCTTCAAAAGGGTGTAAGCTTTAATTCGATCGGATTATTATTTTTATTTCTCAGATATTTATGAAAGTAAAATGCAATTGTAATGGTGCAATTGAGAATATTGAGAGAAAAGAGGGACAGGATTGGAATTTAAAGATACGTAAAGCTAAATGTGTGGTATCCTTCTGTAATTCCATTGTCGTTGCAGACACGGTGACGCCGTTGACCGTTATCTGACGGACGGTCATCACTGTAGCCGATAATAAATGAAAACATACATAAAAAGGTCAAACAGTGAGCTTTATTTATCTTTTAAAGTTTTGTTATTTCTATTTTTCTAATTCACATAAATTTCACATCAAATCCCCAACATTTTTTTCAATTCATTTTTTACGTTGAAACTATTTATAATAACAATAATATACTTAAAGCTTGTTGTAATATTAATAACATTATATGCATTTATACTTTAAAAATATTATACTATATTATTCAAATATAAACCCTTTTTTTTTTTTTTATAAATTTATTAGGAGAAATTTATTAATGGATGCGAACACTTTTAGTACTTTACCATTTCGAAGGAAACTCCAAAATAAAAAAATTAAATAATACAATATATGGCAGTAGTGGATTTGAACTATTACATCTATCTATTTCGATATTTATTTTATTGGACGGGTGAACTTAAACCGTTAAATTTATCTATCTCAGTCATTCCCTTCAAATGACTCTGTTTGGTTAAAGCAATGATAGTGGAAAAGGTGACTAAATTTCCACCGAAAAAAAGGGAAACATTTATAGAAACAATATGTATGTAAGAACGCAAAAAAAAAAAAAAAAAAAAAAAAAAAAAAAAAAAAAAAAAAAAAAAAAAAAAAAAAAACAAGAAGATAATACAAATGGAAAATGAAATGGAGTTTATCACTCTTCCACCACATCTTTTTTTATTATGTGGAATCCATGTACTTTTATTTTATAATTATCACACCTTTTTGTTATGATTACTAAGTAAAAGGAAACTACTTCATTTTTCATGTCGACGGAAGAGTCAGATGAAACATTGTTTTATAAGAGTATGAAAACCTTTTCTCAGTAGACACATTTTAAAATCGTGAGACTAACAACAATGCATGATAAGTCAAGAGGGACAATATTTTTTAATGGTAGACTTGGATTGGTACAATTTTTTTTTTTTTTTTTAACGTGCATGTGCATTTTAACCGAACAATAAAGATTTAAAAGATATGTGTTTTTAAGTAATTTATATGGAGGATCTTTGTGTTGAAAAAATGGCCTGGCCTCTAATCCAATGACTAAACTATTTTAGTTAATTTAAATTCAAAATAAGAAAAGCTATGAAATTTAATAAATTTAGAAGTTGTAAATAAAACAAATAAAAAAATCTTCAATGGGACAAACTAAATTTGGGGACTATTACGGTCATTTGGTCATCGTGGGACCAGCGCTTATGGGATACCTTTTGAAAAAACATGGTTTTTCCTGATTGGAGTCGACAACATGAATTACACGTGTACTAAATGATTTTCCGTAAAAAAAAAAGAAAAGAAAAGAAAAAAGCCGATTGGTTGAATCTCTGAAGCATTAGCGCAAACAATAGCGAATCGTTCAATCAACCATTAATTGGTTAATTACCTAATTGACCCCAAGTATCAGCAAATTAAAGAAAAGCCAATTAATTTCGTGTGGATATTAAATGTTTGGATTAATGAGTTTAAATTTCCAGTAAAGCCAATTAATTAGTGAAGTAATAGGTTTATTTGGGGGCAAAGTTGTAATTTGGTTGGAGGTATGCTTGTCCCAACAAATCCACGTGCAAGGGAGCCGTGGCCACCCACGGATTCAAAGTCCTGAAACGCGGTTGAAACCAGATCACAATTAAAATACTAATAAAATAAGCAGTTAGCAGGTGACCTAAGCCAACTTCTTCTGCTCTTTTTTGTTGTTTTTTTCTCTTAAAAATATCGTTTTATTTTATAATCTCAATTTAGGACCCGATTTCTACGCCTTAATTCTCTAATTGAATTATAATATCTTTTAATAGTTTTAAATCAATTAAAAGAACATCCCAACTGCCTTTGTTGAAAAATTTATTTTCTAAAGTTATTGGGCCTTGAAGCTGGGTCGAAAATGGGCCTGGGTAAGCCCACAGTTCGTCCGTTGGTTCCTTTGTCTGTTGCGGTCGACGCCGCCTGAAAGTCTCCCGCGATAAGATTATGTAGGAGTGGACGAGACGACCAGCATGGCATCCACTCTGCCACTCACTCGAGCTTTTCTCTTCGCCGATGCTTCCAATCATCTACGCCGGAACTGCCTCAGAAGCTTCGCTTTCTCTGCGGCTTTCTCCTCCGACAGCGTTCACTGCAAGAAATGGAGACACCCGGTCTCTTCACTTCCCGAACTTGGCGGAGTCGCAATTGCGAGAGATGGTAAACTACTCTTTCTTGTTCTATCTTAGCTGTCTATGTTGCTTGGTTGTTTGATTCTTATCCTAATCGGCTTCTGACATTTATTCATTTCTATTTGTGTGATTTTCTGGTTGAACTTCCGCGATGTCGTCAATCGACCATCTTACTATGAATTCTTTATCCTTTGAAGTTAAATTTTAATGTGATTGAGTTACTAATATTAATGGAGGTTTGCAGATGTTGTGAGAGATGATCCTACGAACAATGTCCCCGATAATATTTTTTCAAAACTTGGTGTGCAACTCCACCGAAAAGATAACCATCCACTCGGCATTCTGAAGAATGAGATATACAAATACTTTGATACAAATTACTCAAATAAGTTCGATAAATTTGATGACCTCAGTCCAATTGTTTCTGTGAAGGAGGTAAGCTTTTTAGCTCATCAATTTTTATTAGAGGAAATTACCGACGATTTGTCTCTCTCTCCAAATATGTAGTGCACCTGAAATGAGAGTGTTCGTGTATTTGAGTGGATTTATAACATTTGATAGCATATCTTGAACGTAACTGACGCGACCCCCCGACCCCCCCCGAGGTTGGGAGAACGTTCCTTCCTTTAGCTTTAAGGATGAAACAAGGCCAATTCTATGGCTATCTTTAGCTCTAGGGAAATGAGTTAATAAGATGCTTTACAAACTTAGTTTGACAAATTATCCACGAGTGAGAATTTTTGCCATGTTTGTGTTTCAATCTAGAATTAGAAATGCACTGCAACTGCAGGTAATTGCAGGCTTGGAGATGATAGAATTCTAAAACCACGCTTCACTCTTGAGTTGCTCAAAAAAAAAAAAAAAAAAGCTTATTAATTTTTTAAAACATTTCTTAGTAGATGATGACTTAGTTTCAATATTGTTTGAAATCTGAGTTTTGCTCACATTCATCTTTTATAGCATTGCTAGGATGTGGACAACATTCCTCCGCCCTTTGCATTATTTAAAGAGTTCCATTCCCGAAGAACCTGTATCTCATATTTTTTTCGTTTTAGGTTTCTTTTTACATTTGTAGTTTCTGCAGTACTTAAGCATGTAGAACGTTCAATTTGGAGCGCCCCCTTTATGTACATCAGCTATCTTTTGTAGTTAATTTTTGCTGAAAAGGACAAGACATAAACTCATAGACCAAACCGGCCACTTTTGAAACCTTTAAGGATCAAATAGAAACTAAATTCAAAACTAAATTTTTGGGTAACTTTGTATGCTGTGTGTGTGTTTTTTTGAAGTACTGAATTTTCTTTTTTTTTTNATTTTTTTTTTTTTTTTTTTTTTTTGGAATAAGCGGGCTCAGTTTGGTAGTTGACAACTTTCTGGGCAATTGGTTAAATTCTTTTTCCTGAATTTCAATAGCTTACTTGTTTTTCTTTAATACTAATAATTACTTCTTACCATACAATGCCTCTTTTATCTTAATCCTATGTTTATGTCCGCAGAATTTTGATGATGTGTTGGTTCCAGAAGATCATGTAAGCCGAAGTTATAACGATACATACTATATTGACTCGCAAACTGTCCTTAGGTGTCATACAAGTGCTCATCAGGCGGAGCTGTTGAGGAGTGGATATACTCAGTTTCTTGTGACAGGAGATGTGTACCGTCGGGATTCCATTGATTCAACTCACTACCCTGTATTTCATCAGGTATTCTAAATAAATATAGTAATCAAGTCTTTTGCTAAGTTTACCAAAGTTTTCATTTGGTGAATTTTTTTGCCTACTTCTCAGATGGAAGGTGTCCGTGTTTTTTCTCTAAATGATTGGGAGGCATCCAGCACAGATGGAACATCTTATGCAGCTGACGACTTGAAGAAATGCTTGGAAGGTTTGGCAAGGCATTTATTTGGTAAGAGGCGTGTCTGAACTAAGGCATATATGATTCTTCCCTTCTGCCTTAGTTATGAGTAGGTAGTTCTGTTGGAAATTCAAATTGGAAAATACAAATGAGTTTTGGGTAGAGTCAATATAATAACGCTTCCAGAATAGGCAGGTAAAAGACACTTTAGGAGTAACAAATATAATAAATCAGATAAGTATTAATGATCACTATTTTGCATATGATCCAAACAAAAAAAAAAAAAAACTTCCAAAAGTAGTTGCATTTTTTAGATAACAATGAAGAATAAATTCCCCACTTTTCTAATTAGGCTTTGATTTTAAAAATAATTTTAAGTTTTGCATTGGTTTTACATGTAATGGAGCTATGTTATCATAAACTAATCTACTAAACCTGCCAGGTGCTGTGGAAATGCGATGGGTTGATACATACTTTCCATTTACGAACCCATCATTTGAACTTGAGATTTTCTTTCAGGTACATAGATGATCTTTTAGTCAATTTTCTCTTCAGAATTCAATAATTTGATTATGGCACATTGCATTACTTCTTTCATAATGTCTTTCATCGCTACCAAAATGTATTTCAATTTTAAACTTCCATTTCTAGTGGCATTTCTGGTTTATCATATATGAACTTAAAATTGAACCCCTTCAATTTTTTTTGATAAATTAGACTAGGGAACTGAAGGGCGAAGAATGTGCTTAGGGGAGGGCATAGATGCAATTTTTTGTTTTCTTTTGATGAGATATAAAAATATCATAGAATAAACCAAAGGGGGAAAAAAAGGTGACAAGGAGTCATCCTGACAGGCCACAACCGTTTCTCAACTACTATTTCCTCCCATGAATGCTATTAAGGAATGAATGGATAATTTTTTAATCATGTTTTAGATTTCCTCATGAAATTATTTACACTACGTTTGCTGTTAATTCCTTCTTGGAATTTATTGTCTGTTTTGTCTCTCTTTCGAACCAAAGATAATAAAAAGAAATCCTTCATCTGAGGAGTTATTTGATGTTCTACCCATGCAGGAGAAATGGCTGGAAGTATTGGGATGTGGAGTGATGGAGCAAGAAATATTGAAAAGAAGTGGTAAAGAGAACAATGTTGCATGGGCTTTTGGACTCGGATTGGAAAGGCTGGCTATGGTTCTTTTTGATATACCTGATATCCGTTTATTTTGGTCAGCTGATGAGCGATTTACCTCTCAGGTATCTAATTGTATCATTTAACAGTACTCTTTCGTTGTTTTTTACGTTGTTTGTCCTTTGGTATGTTCTCAAAAAATAAATTATCCAATCATCACGTTCGCCTTTTTATTTGCAGTTTTCAAAGGGCAAGCTAGGTGTTAAATTTAAACCGTTCTCTAAGGTACTATTATCGCATTTTAGGCATGGAGAGATTAATTCTTAATTCTATTTCTTTAAGGAACCTCCCACTAGTTTCTATATCACTTCTAACAAATTATATGTCGTAAATTATCTCGAAAAGTTTAAGTAATTGCATCTGCTGCAGTTTCCACCTTGCTACAAGGACGTTAGTTTTTGGATCAATGAATCTTTCACCGAGAATAATTTATGTGAAGTTGTTAGAGGAATTGCCGGTGATCTTGTTGAAGAGGTATGTAATTAACTGTTTTCAAGTGCATAAAAAATTTTAAAGATAATTTTAGTGAAGTAAATTCTTAATGGTCGGGATAAATTTTTATTTCTATTTTTGAATATTGTTGTTTAGCCGTTCTTAGTTATCTGTTCTCTGAAGTTTGGTTGTTAAAATAAAGCTGCATGTGTAAACCTAAAAACTTTCTATTGTTCATGGATGCACTTTTAAAAAGTTTGGTGTTTTCAGTTACCTGGCGTTCTCCTCATTTAGTGAAATAATTTCCTTTCTTTACAAACGGATGCTGGCAGGTGCGATTGATTGACAGTTTTACCAACAACAAGAAGGGGATGACGAGTCACTGTTACAGGATTGCTTACCGATCTATGGAACGGTCACTAACGGATGAAGAAATCAATGATTTGCAGGTACTATCAACTTTGCATCCCTTTTATATATTAGTTTGTTTTAGAAAGAAGTTTGAATACAACCTCATATTTTGTGGTTGCAAATGCAGTGGAATGTGAGAGAACAGGTTCATAGCAAGTTGAAAGTTGTCTTGAGATGAGCATCGGACATGCAACAATTTCAGTCAAAGCCATGTAATGTTATTTCCTTTTTGCCTGCTCTACAACTGAAATTTTATTTTGTACACATCTGAACTTCTTTAAATAAAATTTGTCATACTGGGTGATAGGAAGTATAAGAGTATATAGTGCAGTTAAATCCATGAAAATAATTATCAACAGTTGAAGTGGAGATGTGCTGCAAGCTAAACTTTTTTTAATGCGCAATCAGTTTCTTTCCCCTACCTCATGTTTTACTATGCGTTTGCTGCTTTTCAGACCTGTTGAACTCATGTTATCTGGAAACTATATGTACCAATAGATCACTTTTGCCTAGATGAGAAAGTTGGACTTCACTGTTCTGTCTGAAATTTGACGAAGGAGTAAGAACGCGAACTTCATGTGTGCTTAGATATAAGTTATGCCTTGATCTTCGGTGGGGGTGGACTGAACTAAATTATGTACCAAATGTATCCTTTATATAATATAGCCAGGAATCCAGTTCTTCTATTGGTGTTTGTTTCCTGAAACCAAAAGAATCAGAAGCGCATTTGACGTCCAATATCTCCCTTTTATATAGAATAGAAGCTGAAGGAAGGTACTTTTCCAGAATACTTGAGCCAATTTTGATATTTCTTTGCAACTAATCAGGCCTGCAGGTTAAGGTATTGTACATACAAAATATATAGAACTTCTAACAATACATAAAACAACCAAACTTGAACTAGAGCCAGATAATCTACCAAACAAAATGATATTATGATAAACATTAACTACAAGAAAAACGACAGATAACTTTTCAACACCTCCTCCAACTACCAATATACCTTACATTTTTGTAAATATGATAAAGACCTTTCCTGATAGGGAATTCCCTATCCCGAAGCTACATAAATAGCAATCTACACGGTCTTTGAATAATTAATTTCAGAGTACAATTAGGTCCTGGTAGAATGAATTAACGAGTGTTTAGAGTTTAGATTTCATAATTATTTTAAGATGCATTTGAAACCTGTTCATAAACACAAGGGCCTGTTTAGGTTTCAAGAGAGTTTTGGTCTTGAAGTATGGAAAGATGTGAAGGGCAGAGTTGTAAAGGTCTGAAGCATAAGTTGTTGAATGGAAATGATAGATTAAGCAGAGGATGAAGCAAGGACTGTGTGGACAAGACAGTTTCCAACCAAAACGGATGAAAATGAATGAAGAGAGAAAGGGTGGGGTTTAGGCAGTCATTGAACCACCTAAAAGCAAGAGACGGAGAGAGAAAGAGGGTTTTATTTTATAGGGTCAAAGGAAGGGTTGCATCAGTATAAATGAGTCAAAGGATTGGGACAATGATGGCGTCTGGAATATCTGATATCTGGGCTCCATCTCTATCACCCATAATGCCTACAGCCATCACTCCGACTATGACAACCATGACCTATCTTAATCTCTCTTTTATTTTAATTCTAAACTTATTTTTATTTTAAATTTTTTTAATTTAAATAATTTTACTGTAAATATTAATGAATGTTAAAATCATTAACTAAACAAACGCCAGCTCATTTTATTTAATGCTGCTAATTAAAGGAAAAAAAAATTGAAATCTTAACCAGTACTGAAAAAATTAAATTAAATATCATTTTGTCTATAGACTTTCAACCTTATTCTCTTTTACTTATATTTTCAAATATCTACATTTAGTTAATTATTTTAAATAAATCTTAAAATTAGTTTATATTGTTAGTTTGAAGTTAATTCTTATTAGATAATTGGTCGAATAATGATCATAATTTTTATATCATTTTAAAATTTTATCTATGGCTATTTATGAACAATATTTTTATAAATATGGATTTGTTTTCAAAATAGAAAAGTGGCGTTATATTTTAGATATGGATTTATACAAGCTCTTCTTGTTTACTTTTTTTTTTTTTTTTTAGAAGTTTCAAAATACCCTCAAAAGTAGATGAAAATAATACTATTGTGCTTTGTTATGGTAAAATTTATTTGAGAATGAGAAATGTGAATTTGAAGGGGGAAGAAAAGACAAGGAAAACAGGAGGAAAGAGGAGGAAGAGAGAGAAGAAAGATGTGGAGAGTAATCTTGTAACCGTAGGTTTGAAGGAGCGGGTACATCAAAAACTACCAAAAAAGAGAGAAGATGAGAGAGATCTAAATCAGAAAATGGCAATGGCAATGGCAGCCAGCTGCTCTCTGCTCTGCTCCAACTTAAAAAAGGCCTGACCCATTTCCTGAACTGTGATGGGATTGGGGAGCCAATCATCTTCCTGCCTTTCTTTGTCTTAACCTAATTCTTTGTGTTCTTTAATTCAAACTTTAAATGAGCTCCAACATATAGCCATTTTATCAACTAATTCAAAATTCCGAACTCGCAATGACACTTGAATCTCCCAATAAATTTTTCTTCATCTTCAATTCTCTCCAAATGGTTGAAAGAACAACAGTACGTGGCCCATGTTTTGTGCACATTATAGAAATCTTTTTCCCAAAGTAGTTACTTTTAGTCTTTTGAGTAACCATTTTGTCTTTGAACTTCAGTTTCAAATGATTTTGTTTCCATATGTATTTTCAAATAAGCAACATTTTAGTCCATAAACTTTAGCATATAACAATTTAGTCTTTACCGTGTAGATATTTTATCTAAAAAAAACTCTATAGTTTATATGTTGCTGAAGAATATGAGACATTCTATGAGATGGGCTCGATTTGGTTGTTTTACAATTTTCTTGCGATTTGTTAGATGTTTAGTCTATTTGACAAATGGTTATATAGTGATGTTGGAACTTCTCATACGTTAGGTCTCAGCCTTTGTTGTCCGCTCAAACTCTATATTTTTATTTTTTTGTTAGACATTCTATGGTTTCAGATGTGGAGAGACTGTATGAGCACTTAAATCCAATGCTCAAAGTCATATTTTTTAATTAAATAGTATGTAACCAAGCTAGATCATATTGTTAGGAATCATGGACTTTCACAATCGTTTGATATTGTCCACTTTGAGTATAAGCTCTCATGGTTTTGCTTTGGACTTTTTCAAAGGGCCTCATGCCAATAGATATATTTCTTACTTATAAACTCATGATCATTTCCTAAATTAACCCATGTGGAACTCCCTCCCAACAATCCTCCACACACATATATTCCAAGTTAGATATTGTTCATTGTTTTGATAGACAACTCTGTGAAGGGTAAGTCTCTACTCTGTATATTTAATTTGAAGGCCCTTGCATGAGCACAAGAATGCCTTTTCATATATTTTACATTTGTACTCCATCCTATTCTTCCTCCATTTCAAATATGCGATAATCTGTCTTTACAAGTCTTTGGAGATCTACAACTTTGCCCAAGAGTTCTATCCTTCATTATGACTCCTTTAAATACGCTCTTATCTACCAAGACCTTCACAGAAGCCCGAGTCCATTAATATTGAGAGTTGTCATTAGCAATTTCAGCTATTAAGAATGAAATATTGTAATTTCTTTCCTCATATTAGTCATAGACTGAGAATCGATTAAGAATGTAGTTAGCCATCCTAAAAAATTCTTGCTGGTGTGCAAGTTATCAGATCTCAAAATAGGTTTCAACATTCAATAGAAGAATAAGAAGCATGGATATATAGACGCCTGGCTAGTTAAAAGTAGTATTAGAAAATCCCTTTGATCATCAACAAAAATCTTAAGTAAACTTAAACTTTGACGGGTAGGATTCTAACTAATTTGGTATAGTGAAAAAGGAGAGAAAAGAAGAATGGCAATGAAATCAAATTAAACAGTATGGAAACAGAAAATTGGTGGATGCAAAGTGGTGAATGATGAAGGAGTTTGAACGAGAAAAGGATAGAGTCAATGCATGGTTGGTCATATCAGGTAGGGTCATTCCAGCCTATATAGAATTATATATAATGCATGAAAAGTTGCATTTCCATTGCATGCTATTGCTATTAATCTATTATTATTATTATTCTTGTTCTTGTTATAATTGTATTGGAAATACAATCCATTATTCTTCCACCCACTCGCCATCCTTTCATTTCAGTTCGCCCCTTTTTTTCCACTGTCCCCATTTTTTTTTCCTCTGCCATTTATTTTCCCCTTGTACTACTTTTCTTTTTAATAATAACTAGGTAGGTCTTGTACATCCCCATTCATATGTTGTTACAACTTTCATTGCAAAACAATTCTAGACTTGAAAGTCGAACCATTATTTATGATAGAATTGTAGAGGTGTGATAGATTTAGGATTAAAATGTGAGTGTTTTAAGTTATGGGTTTTGTATATAATACAGTTGATGTTGTGAGTATATATGAATTCTCATGGGAGGAGAGGTGAAAGGGTGGATTAAGTAGCCTTTCTGAAAAGCTCTGATTCTTCATCGTACAATGCTTGTGCTCAATTTCAGAGTCGTTTTGAATCATGGGTCCCCTTTCTTTTTCCCTCGTTTAATCTCTCTCTTTCTATCTCCTCTTTCAGTTGCTATAGTGCTCATATTATGAGGTTAGAGGGGTCTGCCCTATCAGGTTGAATAGTAGAAGAGATGATACGGATGTTGAATTTGGCACTGCTTCAAAACTAAATAGTTCTTACTCTGTTTCCCAACTGTTTATGCTTCTGCATAGGAATCATCTTTATTCACGAACTTCTACTTAAGGTAGGCTACACTGATCAAATTTCGCCCAACTTCAGATCAACATGTAGGACATTGTGATTTGTTCGTAAGATAGTTTCAGATTTTGAGTTAGTTTAGTTTAGAAACGTTTTATTTTTATGCTGTTGGTGTGGTTTTTGAGAGTGTCAAATAATAAACTCAAGTGTACCTTGATTGATGGTCGATAAATTTCAAGTGTTAAGAGCCTATAGAATAGACTGTAGAGGAAGTTAGAAAACAAGTGGATTTGATTTGATTTGATTGAAGCAATTAATTTTGTCAAGAATCACGTTCTATCGTTACAGAAATCATTGGAATCTCTGTTTGTAGTTGGATGTGTAAAGGAAGAAGACGAACCAAACCGACACATGGACAAGCTTTGTCGTCTTGCCCTTATGGTTTTTTCTCCCCTTAACAACCTTTAGGTTATAGCATTAACATCAATTTTAAAAAGAAATTGTTGTTAGGAAATTGAGCTGGCATTTAATTTTGGTAAGTGGTACAATAAATTGGGATATTGTTGGTGTGTGTTGGTGTGTGTTGTTGTGTAGTAAGTGTGTGATTGGGGTGTGGTGCCACGTGCAAGAACCCCACGAAAGCTGTTATAAATAATGACAGGTCAGTTTCAAGCTGATGCCGGAATTAAGGCGACACGCCTATGAACCCCATCCCATTATTTTTTTTCTTTTGGAATGAAAATTCATTCAATCATATTAGTTTTAATGGTGATTGATTAGAAAAATCAACCCCTTTTAAGAATTTAGAGTGTTGGTATTTGAGAGGGGCAGATGATAATGAAAAGGATACCATATTCGGACGAACATGCAGAATGGATGAGCAAAAGATGCCATGAAGAGAACCTGCTTGCTTACCATATTCTTGGCGGATGAGTTTTGGTCACATCTGAAATGAATTAAAGGACATGTTTGAGGCCATTACTTTAGGTCATTCTCTAGCTTGGGAAAAATTACAAACTCTACAACCTTGTGGGTACTATTCTTTTCCCGGGGTGTTCGTAGTAGTGAGTAAGGGGTTGAACTAATTGGATTTAATTATGTATATTTGTGGTGGTAATCCATGAGTGGATGATTAATTAGATATACCAAAAGAGGAAAAATTATTTGTATATCAACATATATAACCCAAAGATATAGGAGTTGGTTTGGTGCAGTAGGAGGGAGAGAGAGAGGTTGAAGCACATGTTAAGGCTGACACATAATATTTACTCTCTCTCTCTCTCTCTCTCTCTAGAAATTGTTTATTTTAATTATAAATTTTGTGTTATAAACTTGAATTATAAATATGTTTTTAATTACTTTAAAAATTATACATTATTTAATAACTAAATAAACTCTGTATGAGTCCATTCCTAGTTTATTTGAGATATACATTGGTTTTACTTGGGAAAAAGAAACAAATTTATTTATTTGTTTGTTTGTTTAACTTAAAGCTAATAAATGAGACAGAAGTTAAAAGTAACTGACAAAAGGTGAAGTCAAAATCCATTCCCTAAAATAGCAAATTTGAAAATAGTGAAATTGGAAATAAATGGATATTTTAATTCATAGGCTGTAAATGAATATGAATATGAATATGAATATGAAGATGAAGATGAAGGGGTGCCCCTGCCCCTGCCCCTACTCCTACCCCATTCCATGTCCATAACTTTGGTTTTTGTTTGCTCCTCAAAACCCTAACATCTCATCCTTAGTCTTCAAGTTCCAAGACACACACAAAACTAAGCCCCTTAAAACTCCCACAAATCAATACCATTTTTTTTTATTTTATATATATATATATAATTTTATTATTATTTTACTAAAGCAATAAAGATAAAGATTGGTACTACCACCACCCTTTTCTAAAATAACATTAACAATAATAATCTACTTTCTTTCTTTCTTTTTCCTACCCCATTTTCGTCCTTCATGTTTCCCCTTATAATTTTATTTTCAAAAGTTCACTTGATTTGCTCTCTAAAATCTCTTATGACTCAGTTTGAATGCTTCATATTCATATTCGTGATGTGAGATAGAATTATGCAACGTCTCACATGCAATTATTTGATTTGATTTATTAGCATCACGTGCATTATAATCATGTTATTGATTGATTATGATATTTCTGATTGATTAAGTTCATAATATACTTCATAGGATAATATAAATATGCATGATTACTAATAGTAGTATTTGTTAGGGGCATTTGGCCTCTAAATTGCTAGGCAGGTACAAAAGAGGAAAATGAAATTGTTTGGGAAGTAAAGGCAATGGAGATTTGAAATAAATTTGAAAGCTTATATAGCATATGCCACAAACATACATATAAAGATAGGTCGGAATTCCATTGCATGATGGAGCACAAAATTGGTGGTGTTGAGAGCCAAGCTCCCGAACATTCCCTTAGCAATGGAATTGCTCTTAGCTTTAGATTTCTTGTGGATTTTTGAATAGAAACAAACAGGCAGACACTGTGACAGGGAAACCTAAGCTTAACAACACCTAACTAACTAACAATCAACAAACATGTGTGTGTGTGTGTGTGTGTGTGTGTGTGTCTCTCTCTCTCTCTCTCTCTCTCTCTCTCTCTCTCTCTCTCTTTTTGAATTATTTTAGAGTCTAAGACAGTGGAGCCCTTTGGGGAGCCCCCTTTCTCCGGCTACCCAAAGAGAGAGCAATTGGAGGGAGGAAGCCACTGGCGTTCTTCTTCGAGAAAGTATTGGGCGTGATTTGGGCGTGCTCGTCGTCATCGTCGTCGTCGTCGGTGAGTTGGGAGGCATCCATCGGCAGCCCTTCCAATTGTGAAAACCCAAAATCCGACTCTTCCAACCTCAGCAGAATGGTGGAAAGATCTGCCCCTTCAAACACCATGTGATCCACCTTGCATGAGAGGGAACAGAAATGGAAGGGGTGTTGAAGAATTCTGGCGCAAGTTAAACAGACATTGGAAGGGGCTTTGCAAGGCCTAGACTGTGGCCTGTGATTCAGGAATATCACTTTGGCTCCATTTATGGTGTAAGGCTGCACAACACAACACAACACAACACAACTCAAACCCAGATATTGAAATTGAAATACAAATGCAAATTCGTGGGAATAGAAATAGAAATTAGAGGGAATTTAATGAAATTTATAGTTGTAGTTGAACCTGAATATAAGAACAGTGAATGAGGTTCTCGAGATCGGCGAGGCGAACCACGTCGTGATAAACATAGCGTCGAATCTGGGAAATGAATTGAATGGGGATGGGAATGGGATTAAGAAGGGAAGGAAAGGAAAGGAAAGGAAAGGAAAGGAAAAGGAAAAGGAATGATTATTGTACCTGAAGAAGAGGAGGATGAGAGCGGTGAGATGGAAGGCAGTGAGGGCAAATGGGGAGGCAACACTGTAAGCAGAAGACGTTGCACTCGTTCTTCCTCCCAGACTGGTGGAGCCCACAGGGGGCGAAGAAGGACTCAGAGATTAGGGCTTCAAGCCATGCAGGAGGTTTCACCATCATTCTCTTACCATTGCGTTGCCCCCTTACCTTACTGCCTTCTATCTTCTTCCATCATTCTTCTGCCCTTTGGATCATAACAAAACTGGGCTTCTTACCTTTTCTTCTCACACCCACGCACTAGTCCATACTACTAGTATTTAACACTTCCCCATCGGATGCCAACCGCTCCCTCCCTATGTTCTTGCCTTTGCCCTCGCAAAAACACACTATAATTACTTAAAATAAATTTGCAAACTTCGTATAGGCCCAATTTCAGTTTAGACCGAAATTTAGTGGGCTTGAAGCTAGCATTCTTTAGCTCTGAGTTTGATCGCCCCAACGTTCGTAAGTCTCCAGCCAACTCTGAAGCTGGTATCAATTTATACTGAGTTTGAGTTGGATTTGATTGGACCAATTGGTTAATTAAATATTTATATTTCTGTTTTATTTATAATATTATAAAAATATGTTCAACAAAACGGTGATTCATATCCACAAGAAGAATGCGGTATCAGAAACAATATGAGTTGACCCAGAAAATTAATAAAGGGAAATTAAATCCTGGCAATGGGCTGCCTCGGCCCACTACAATTTAAAGCAGGCCGTAGAGTTGTACCTTTATCTCGGCCCATGCATTGCATTTAAGCACACTTCTTTTCCGCCCATAAAGGACACGTGGGTTTTCTGGTCTCCTGCTTTGGTCTCGCGTCTTAATCACCACTTGTTAGGTTGGAGGGAAGCATCCAATCTGGGCCCTTCATCCCCTGCTTTACTTCTTCTTTATTCAATTAATTTACTTTTTTTTTTTATAAATATATATATATATGTAAAGATCTTATAGTTTAGTTCTCATAACATTATATATAACATCATTAAAAAAAATATGATTCATTCACGGTCTCGTTGAGGCATCATTGTCAAAAGTGTGTACGTAATTCCCTTGATACATTATTGAGACGTCTAATCCTCGACAACGTGCTTTAGGACATTGATCCTATGATCATAATCTTAAATTTAGACGTGTTGAAGATCTCTCTAATCCCTGATGGGAGTGTTGGTCGATCTCGCTAAAAAGTAGGTGCAGTATGTTCAATCAAAATAAGCATAATTTATTTGCCATCGTTCTTTTAATTAAATATTTTTAACTCAAGAACTTAATTATTATCCTTTAAAAATATTAAATATTAGTTACCGCAAATATGAGAAAGAAAAATATTAATTAAATGACTAATAACTATTTAAAGCTATGTGCTATATATATATACAAATTTATTTTGTATGCATAAATGCATTGTCTAAGCACCTCAACTACATATGGTATCCACACTTTAATTTATTAATAAAAATAGTAATAAATGTTGAATAATACGAGGACAAAGATTCCAAATTATTTGAAACATTTCACCCAGCTATTATATAATATTTAAACTAATTTGTGATTTTATAAATAAATAAAATAAAATAAGGTAAATTATACGCTTACATCGGGTCAACATTAATGATTTAAAAATTCGAGGTGAAAATTACATTATATATTTTTGTTAGTAAAATTTTCATAGAGTGCACCTTTTGTACCGCACGTGTAAAAGTGGGCCTTAACATCAAAATAGCACACAAACTCTTACGTGTAATGAATCATGCTTTTAACTCATACTTACCTTTGTTGATGTTCTTGTTTGACCTAACTCCGCCCAAAACCATTGTATGATATGATTTGGTAGGTTGGTTTTTTTGGTGGGATGAAAAATTAATGAAAAGGTAAAGGAAGTTATTATAATGGATGATTCAACCACGTTAATAGCTTTATTAAAACACAAATGGCTGAAATAAGCTTAAAATTGAAGGCAAGGAGCTAAACGAAAAGAAGAGAGCATGATCATGTAATTAAGAAAAGAAATGGAAGAATGGGGTCATTTTGGTCATCCTACCTTCTACCAGGTGGTTATACTCACTCATTCCCCTCTCTTCGTCGTTTACTGTTCTATAAGCTCTTAAGACCAAACCACACACCGACACCCAAATCTCAACTATCATTCCACATTCACCCCCACAGATCTGTGACTGCTACGCTCTCTTTTCTGTTCTATGACCGACGCAATGGCGGTGGTTGGGTTCGATGCCAATGCGCCGTTGACGCCTCAGCAGCAACCGCCACAACAGCTACTGCTGCAACAACCGCCGCTGGCCTTGCTCGAGCGCCTCAAGGATTATGGCCAGGAAGATGTTTTTTCTCTTTGGGATGAGCTCTCCCACGAAGAGCGGGACCTTCTTGTCAAGGATATTGAGGTATACTTCGCTTGTCTCTTCTTCTGAATTCACCTTCTGTTGGATCCCCCAATTCTCTGTCTGATTCTCTTAGTATCGTTGTTCACTGCTTGAATTTGTGTTTCATGCATTTCAGTTAGCTGAGAGATGAGTGTGAGAGTTCTGTAATTTTCAGAATTTTCAATTTCTCATCGTTTTTTAGTTTATCTGCAGCTAAAGAAGCTGATTTTGCTCATTTCTTTGGTGTCAAATTAGTTATTTTCTTTTCTTGTGATGTTCATCCCCGATGCGCAAAGCATGATTGTAACATGATTGTCGATGCTCTTTTTCAGAGTTTGGACCTTTCCAGAGTAGATCGAATCATTCGATGTTCGCTTCGTTCTCAAGGTTGGTATCTTCATCGTGTCCTCTTTTTTTTTTTTTTTATTTGATTTTTATTAAATTGAATTGCTTTGAGGTTGTAGGGCTACCTGCGGCTGCAATTGAGCCCGTACCCGAGAGTTGCGTGTCGACGCTGGAGGAGCGAACTCTTGAGGAAAGAGAGAGATGGTGGAAGACGGGGCTGAAGGCCATCTCGGATGGCAAGTTGGCTGTTTTGCTTTTATCCGGCGGTCAGGTATAATTTTCCATTTCTCCTTAGAATGTTTTAACTTTTGGCAAAACTTGATTCGACTGCTTCGCATTGATTCCCTTTGCTTTGTGTCGACCTTTATACTCCACTATAAAGCTTTATCAATCTAAGCTTGTGATGCACTTTAAGCGATCCTTCTCTTTTTAGGTACATCCTTCCACCCCTTCCCCTCGTTTTTTTAAAAGAAATTTCTGATTAATACAGATAAACTAAAACTACCTTATGGAGAGGTCCATGTCCAAATAAACTGTGACTTCCACTCGATACTTATCACGATGAAAGAACTCACCTCGTGGCAGCTCCTTTATGGAAGATGATAAATTCCTAGATGAAAGAATTGAAAAAAAAAAAATAAATAAAAAATAAGAGGCAAAAGTACTACCCAGAAATCGAATTATTTATTTTGTTTTAAAATACTTTCTTTAGTGTATAAGATGGCATCGCAGAGACGAATAGTTACTAAGGAGTCCATCACGCTTGACTAAATTATTTTTTAATATATATTCATCATTTTTATACAAGAAGAAAATTCAAAGTCAATAAATTTATGCATTTATATGCTAAAAATGAGTTTGATGTATATTTCTCTAAGAATGTTAATTTTGTTCTATATGATCATGTGTGTATTTGATGTCTAAAATTTTTTGAGACTTATATTGACTTTGTACAACTAGGGTCTAACACATATCTATTGTGGTATTCAAATGCAGGGAACTCGGCTGGGCAGTTCTGATCCTAAGGGATGTTTCAGTAAGTAAAATCAGATTCTCTGAATTAGCAATTACTTTAGGGTTCTCCATGGAGGTGTAATTTAAATTTATTTGATGTTTTAGTCTTCTATTTATTTACTTGTTGAATTATCAATTTACATAAGAAGCTTATACCTTTCTCGACCTTTTGGAAGTGTGGCAATTCACATGAAAAGCTTCAATTTACATAAGAATCCAATGCTTAATGAATTATGATTTCAACCAATAGACCTGTGTGTATGTTCATAGGGTCATGTCTCTCATCTTAGCAAGTTGTTTCTCAATCTGGGTACTGGTTTAATTCAGGAGAGAGCATACATTTGTTACTTTGATGTTTTCTACGATAGTCATGTCTGAGTAATTTCAAACTATTGGGTACAAGGAAGATTAATGACTTCAATATCTTTCCTCTCTCTCATACACCCAAAATAATTGAATCCTTATACTTTCTAATTTCATATTGCATTGAAGGGAGGAGGAAATTCATAATCATATTTGTTCCTATATTCATATCGCCAATACATTCTAGAATTTTTATTTTATTTTATATACATCTTTGTTAGATATTGGACTTCCATCGGGGAAATCCCTTTTTCAACTTCAAGCTGAGAGAATTTTGCGTGTTCAAAGATTAGCTGCTCAAGCCATGACTGATAGTAAGTTTTCAATTTTCAGTATTCTTACCTTTTTGTTTTCTGTCTACCCCTGAAGGTTGGGGGGACCTTGTGGCTGTAACCAACTTTCGGTAGAAGATATTGGAGTCGGGCTTTAATTCTGAGTACTAGAGACTTTAGATAAGTTTATATTATAATGGATGTTAGTGACAGTTATTGACATACATATTGATCTCAGATTCTACCGGTTCTGCATCAATTCATTGGTATGTGATGACCAGTCCATTTACTGATGAGGCCACTCGCAATTTTTTTGAAACTCAGAGATATTTCGGTTTGGAGGCTAATCAAGTTATAATCCTTTAGATGCTTATACTTTTTCTCATTTTTCCTTGCTTGCTCTGGTGCTCACTTTCGCCATATCCGGGTTGCAGGTCACCTTCTTTCAGCAGGGTACCATTCCTTGTATATCCAAGGATGGTAGATTTGTGATGGAGACACCATACAAAGTATGGCTTCAAACTTTTTTCCATATGAATTGATCAATCCCCAGTTATCCATATCATATCATTTACACGCTATACTACTTTTCCTCCTTCCCCCATCATGCCCCCTGTTATACTATTGTAGAAAATCTTAAATTTCTCGAGGTAGAGAATGTAGTGATGGAAACACTTGTTATTTTCCTGAGATTGTGTCAAAATATTTAGCCTATATCTTTTACAATCCTAGTACTACAGAAGTCATGTCATACCTTGATTTCAAGTAACTCAAGGATTGGAATGGGGAAATCTATTTTGATTTCAAATATATTCATTGGTATGGACACGCATAAATTGATATTTGTATTTGATGAACTAAAGAGGCAGGGAAGAATCTTATGAAAAGAATTTGTTGGAAGTCAAGGGTACAGGGCAATAATACATAGTGAATGAACACTGGATCGATCAATTGGTGGCTATCTTCTTTGGGTCTCAGTAATTAACATTACGATGATTTTAATGTTATTGAGCTCCATATCTTTGCATCACACTGTAATTCTCTTACTCCAATATATAAAAACCATGGTTGTAAAAGTTTGAATTTTTAAAAGCCAGGTATCTAAGGCTCCAGATGGGAATGGAGGAGTATATGCAGGTAAGCTGGTCAAACTCATAAGCTCAAGTTGTTGGCTACTTCTAACTCTATTTTTTACCCTCTTATGTGAACCTGTTGTTTGTTGATCAGCTTTAAGATCCTCAAACTTATTAGAAGATATGTCAGCAAGAGGGATTAAATATATAGACTGCTATGGAGTTGACAATGCCTTAGTGAGTAGCCATATCAACTGATTTTTCTTTGTGCTGGATACGTATATGTTTCAAACTTTTGCATCTTGGTTATAGGTTCGCGTGGCTGATCCAACATTCTTGGGGTATTTC